CAAGACAAGATGATGCAAATTAGTCTGAAAGCTCCTGTTATACAGGACAGGAGCTTAAGTGTTGTCTGTCCTCGGGGCTGGGAGTGCCATATCCCAAGTGCCGGAAAGATCGACCCGTAGCCCCCCTTCCCTGTTGAGGGTGGGGTTGTACATTCTTTCATATATTGCCTCTTTAACACCCCGTTCCCACCATCGTGTTTCGCGGTCTAAGACATCCGTGGACTCGAGTTTGAAAGAGTGACCCTGGTTGTGTTGTAGGTGGTGGAAAATAGCTGAGGAGTAGCCGTTGGCACTAGGTCGGCAATGTTCTTTGTACCTTACTTTAAGCGGTCGACTTGTCTCTCCGATGTAGGTGTTGTTACAATTGGGCTCCTCACATTTGACATCACTATTCCGTATGTCCAAGGAGTATCTAGAGAAACTCCGACGGATCTTCCAAAACTTCAACATAGCCACTAACTTCAAACCTCACTCAACCCTCAGACAAAGACTGGTACACCCTAAGGACCGACCTCACAAGGGTACCAAGGCGAATGTTATTTACAGACTCAAATGTGAGGAGCCCAATTGTAACAACACCTACATCGGAGAGACAAGTCGACCGCTTAAAGTAAGGTACAAAGAACATTGCCGACCTAGTGCCAACGGCTACTCCTCAGCTATTTTCCACCACCTACAACACAACCAGGGTCACTCTTTCAAACTCGAGTCCACGGATGTCTTAGACCGCGAAACACGCTGGTGGGAACGGGGTGTTAAAGAGGCAATATATGAAAGAATGTACAACCCCACCCTCAACAGGGAAGGGGGCTACGGGTCGATCTTTCCGGCACTTGGGATTTGGCACTCCCAGCCCCGAGGACAGACAACACTTAAGCTCCTGTCCTGTATAACAGGAGCTTTCAGACTAATTTGCATCATCTTGTCTTGACTTGTCTGACTTTTGTTCCTTTTTCGACTTCCAAAAATTTGTCTTCACTTTATTTGCATATCAATCAACAGGTTGTGTATATAAACCTGCTTTCCCCTCTGGTCTCTCAGTCACTGACGAAAGCTAGTGGATACTAGCTGAAACGTCTGACGTTTTCAAAATCATATCCAGTTGCTTGAGTAATTGTTTTTTGACAATTTGATTTTACTTTAACCTTTTAAAACTCATCATAAACTCATGCTAGTTTATGACATCATTGTTAAAAGTACAAGACGGTGAGCACGATGTCATAAGCTCAAGTGTAACCAGGATGTTTTCAACAAAATGTCATTACTTTATATTTATTGTTCAATTGTCGTATGCGGTTTTAGCCAATGAAATGACATAAATGACGTTGTTGTTATGAACCAAATTCACTAGTACACAATCCTCTAAAAATAGATATTTCATTTCATTAATAATTTTTAGTTACAAGGTCGGTCCTATATTTGTACCCCCCCCCTGAATAGGTTGAATCAATAGCAGCATTGATACATCACATGATGATTTTAAAAGACAACTTAAAATAGTTCAATTTTACAGTACAGTTACTGCAGTGCATAATAGGTAATTCAAATTAGAATGAAGTGACGCTGAATCCGCTGTTTTGCTTAGAGCAGAAAGACGTACTACAGAAAATACAAAATGTTATGCATACTCGTGACAGCCATGATTTTCCGCGTGGCAGTCGTTGAAACATGCTTGCTTATTTGGTTTCCAATAAGGGCAAATATTGGCTCCAGAAATCCAAATATCAGGACAGGAAGTCCAGATAAGACACCGACCTTTGAAAGAAAAATAATCATTTAAAACATATCAATAATTTGCTAGCGGATTACCTTATGTTACATGATACGATGGACGAACATTACCACATGATAGTCACTTTTATATAGTTTATATACTCACAGAAGTAAACGGAATTCAACCTTCGCCAAAAATATTATTATGTTGTGGGTAGCGTTTGTAAGTATATATGTACGTGTATATTGTATATATTTGTAGAATGTATGTGTGAAGGCTTTAGCAAGATAAGAGGCTATAAATGGATCGTCATGAAACTCGGTAGGTGGGTAGGTCTTGATGAGACATAAAAATGATTACATTTTGGCTCCATAAATGGGTATTCTTTATGCATGTATCAATGAGAAATTGTCAGTCAGTCGTTAACTCGTTAACAACATTTGGCGGAGGTACAAATGTATGAGACCATGTAATATAACTCCATTTTTACGATGCATGAACCAGTGTATTCTTTTATTTGTACTGTGATTCCAATTCTAAAACTATAGGATAGCCTTGCTCAATGAAGTAAAACAGAAATACCTCTACTTTGTACTTTTACTAATAGTATGATTTTTTTACACTTTCACCGATAAAAACGATCTTACCAGTTCGATATTTGCCCCAAAGCTTTGGTTGAAGTAGAGAGGGAGGAGGCTTGGGTCCCAAATATAGGACGCTACGTTGAGCAGGCTGAAGGCCCAAACAGCAGGAGACGTGACCATGCTTAAAAACGGAATGCTTTTCTGCAGAGAAAGATAGAATCAATCAATACTAGTATAATACCTCTTTATTCTGAATGTATATTATTCGAATCGCAGATAATGTTCGACTTGATATATTTGAATGACCCAAACCATTACAAACAAGGAGAAGTCGTAGACATCATCCCTCCATGAAATAGCTTGTTATTTTGTAATCTTTTGGTGTATTTCAATAGAGATATTATGAGTCAAACTTTGTTTTTATCAGCAGAATGATTTGTGGTGGCACTTTGTATTTATCAAGCTGTCATGTGCAGGCGTTTAGTGTCTTGTTACCATGGTTTGTTTACTTTGATGGCCAGCAGGTCATTTGCCTTAGCCTGGGTACCATCCCCAGTAGTATATTCGCAAACTCTATAACTGTTATAGAGTTTGCGAATATACTACTGGGGATGGTACCCAGGCTACATTTGCCTGTACATGTAGGTCAATGACCAGACAGGCAAATGACCTGCAGACCAGACAAACAAGATTTATTTTCCTGCAGACTCTGTCTAGGGGTAAAAATAGATAGGGCTGCCTGGGTCTGACCTGCCAGCTGGAGGTATAAACAAAAACACTCTGTCCCAACTTTTGGGTCAAATTTAACAGACCATCCTATTATGAAGTGGGGGTGAAAAAGTGAAAATCCTTTTAAATTAAGCAATAAAAATATGCAACAACCTGCTAATGCACTCCAAAACACAAAGAGACTCAACAACTACCCACATACCAAAAATCATACCAAACCATCACCCAGATTTTCCAAACATTCAACACAAAAAGTCCAACATTAAACATTTTGTAAATATCAAACGCAAACAGCTAGGGGACCCAAATTTAAACCACTAAACCATGGTAATAACAACTACATGCTACCTTAATATCGCACAAACAGTCCATAACGCGAAAACAACAGAATAAAAAAATTAAACTGCAGTACCAAGGTCAATCACCAGGGGCTCAAAGTCAACCTACACAATCTCCAAGGCCCCATCCATCAATCTGCCAAATATCGTACAGTTCCTTCTCACCGATCTTCAGATATCAGACCAAACATGAAACGGAGTAAAAACAGTACCCCCATTTTCATGGAGGGTAATTACATATTACATTCACTCATGTCATAAAAGTGCCATTCATTTGAAGTACGTACCTTATTTCGGTCATGATGTTAGTGCCACTCTGATATATTTCAACAAAATCACTATAGATATTCTACTGCATTGCATTGTGATGTTTGTTATATTTCCCACCATTGTCTGGATATCGGCCTTGCTCTGTTGAGGTGTGTCCGTGGCAGATTGCTTTTTAAATACACCTGCTACTTTGCATGCGATCGACACGACCGTCCATGTTATCCCCAGCGCACCTGTATATTCATATACCAATAATGATAATGCATCAATAATGATAATGCATCAATAATGATAATGTATCAATAATGATAATGTATCAATAATGATAATACATACCATGAAAAACCCTTTACCAGCATTCCAGAAACGGCCGAAACAGTAGAAATTGGCGAAATAGATAACATGCCAGAGGAGTTGGTCCGCCCAAGAGTAAAATTTCGGAAGCGGTAAACTGTACTTCTGAGCGGCACGTTATCTGTCAATTTGGCCAATTTCTACTCTTTTCAGCCACTTCTCGAATCCTGGTAGAGGCTAATATCAAATACATTTGTGTAAAAATCGCAAATATTACAAACAATGCTTTCCCTACAGAAAAATCATTATGGTGACTTTTCTAACTTTTAATGCCTTGTCAGTCAATAGTGTATAGATAGCAATATCACATAATATTAGCGCCAAGACCATATTCCCTTTTCCAATTACACTGAGAAACTTTCGTTAAGGTTAGTAATACCAATGTTGTTTTTCACAGACACTTACCATATATGTAGAATGATGCCTGCCAGTCTAGTCTTTGTGTTATGAAGCCAGTTGCAAATATACCAAGAAACTGGCCAAGGTAGAGTGCTGAACAGCAAAAACAATGATTCTTGTGAAATTACATATAATACTATCATCACATTGCTTTAGATGCATCATGTAAAATGATAATTATGATAACAACAGTGCTTTTCGTGTAGTTGTTCTAGGTTGATGCCATAACTCTTTTGACTTCATATGACACGCACCTCTAAAATTTCTGCATTGATAATTAAATGGCATCTGTTTGGCGACTTATACTTGAGTCTAGACTTCCTGACCTGCAAAGATGTATGGCGAAACTCGTGCGCTTTGCGTCGGGGACAAGTATTCACTTAGAACGCCATAAGCAGCAGGTTCGCATGACCCCTGTATGGAACGGCATTAATATCATTTCGAGGCGTTAATGATCTTTAGCCAGTTAATGAAAGCAAAATTTCAACTTGATATGAAATCGAAAAGATAATTACTATCGATGTGTAACGTAAATGTCGAAAGACTTTCCACTTATATAATACGTCTCAAAGCAGAACAAACAGTTGATATGCTACATCTTGACTATATATTACACTTAGATAGCAATAATGAAGCTTTTAGGTTAGCGAGTTTCGCTATGAGAAGACACTTGAAACTACAAAGGAACGTAGGTTCGATTCCTGAAAATGTTATTTGATAAATATATAATGCCATATCTTTCAATATTCCTGCTATATGCACGTCTTTTGCCTTGAAACATATACACTCTAAGTCAACTCTTACCTCTGCAACTCCTGCAAGAACACGTTGAATTACTGCAGTCTCAAAGTGTTGAAACATAACAGGGGCGAGACTGTGGACAATTGAACTGGCGCCGACTGAGATCAAGAGCACCCTAGAATTCGCCATAGTGAAGCAACAGGATGAGGTAGGTTGTTACATTTGTACATTCGTTGTGTAGCTGTACATATCTCAAAACCATGCATAACTGTCGAACCATATAGTAATAATGTTCACTTGGGCTCTACAGGGGGGATATGAAGATGATTGGAAAAGCTTCATGCTCCGTCAGTGATAAGCAGATTAAGTGATCTTTCACATAACCGTATAGTACGTCGATGCATAAACGGCTAGCCTCCAGCTCAGCCTCTTGGGTATGGTGTTATATGTTGGAACTATTTCGCCCTCTGCCTTTCCATTTCATTTTATGACTGGTGTTGCTATGGGCACCATACGTTTTAGTAAACCTTAATATTCCATTATAAAAACTGTTTGTTAAACTCGTGTACATGTTGTATACCATTAAGAGTTACGAAAAAAGCCTATCTAGATGTTTTAGGCAATAAAACCACATTCATTACGCCATTCTGACGTCATATTACGTCATAATGATATCAAATTATTGTTATCATTAATTTTTACTAGTACACCATCCTCTGAAAACTTGGTGGTCATACGACGTACCGTTTACGATTTCTGATAGGGGGAATGCCCCCCCCCCGCTCGACGCACGGATCACCTAAAAGCGCCCCAGTCTAGATAGAATACACATCTAATGTTGTTTTCCATCAGTAGTTTACAGGTAGGAAAAAGAACACACCTAAGAGCGGAATATCGATAGGCCAGGTAACCTCCGATGAAGCTTGAGGGCAGCAGGCCGATGTAGACTGAGCTCAGGATGACACCAACTTTGAACTGACTGTACTGTGACTGAAGCTGTAAACACGTCAATGTTTATCATTATCAAATGCAAAACGTACAAGAAGAGCAAGATTGTAGTTTTCAAATGATGGCAATAGATAAAATTAGTGACATTCAAAAACATATTGGTCGTTTTTTGGTCCAAAATTTTAGTTGAAATGTGACTTAACAATGACGACAAGACAAAATTCTAGTACAATGCTTAACTTAATTCTCGCCTAGGAAAAACGTAATTCTAACACAAGGATAAACAAGAGTTCCACGATCTCATGCCTTCGCCAAATGATGTTAACCCCTGCAGTTGACGAATTATGCAATTTATATTCGGGGTTACTAATGAATATAGCTTCTTATATATGTGTGTGTCTCATGTCTAAGTGTCTTGAAGAGACATTTTTACTTGACAAGCTTAACTGTTTTAGAAAGGCCTCCCCCATGTACATTTGTACACTGCACGGCTGCCAGGACAAGACTGAAGTCTGGGAATTTATGTTATCGAATATATATCGGCAAGGTGGGGTCATTATATAGTATTACTGGCCTCTTTAACATCCAAATGTGGCAAGTATAAAATTCCCAGCAGTTACAACTATGAAATTATAAAAAAAATCTCATTGATTATGCAAATTAGGTCTTCATTTACATAATCTATATCCTCAGATGTTTGTTCTCGTTCACAATTACATGTCACAAGTGTTTCATAGTCATATTGTCGAACAAAGCAGATTTCCGCATTAATTGTGCAAATCAGCTGCTGATTTGCATAATTGTCATCTGATTATGTCAAGCATCACATCAGCTACCTACATACCAAAAATCACGACAATCCGTCAATCGGATCTTGAAAACCGGACGTTCTGCTGCAGTACCAACAAAAGCTGCCAGGGGGCCAAAAATCTAATCATTTCTAGGTCTCATCAAGACCTACCCACCAACTAATAAGTTTCATAACAATGCATATAAAGCTTCTTGGGTTATGCTGTTCACAGACAGACGCACGGACAAACAGGCAGACGGACAAATGCTACTGAAAACATACCCTTCTTGGCGAAGGTAACAAGTATCAAATTTCCGACGACCACTGTCGCCTTCATCAGGGTAAGTAATGACCGATCACTCCCGAACGAAACCCACAAGAGTTACGGGCACGTGACCATGGCCTATATAACATAGCAAGACACCTATAGTTGACCTTCGAGACGTTGGTGTTTGTATTGTTATCCGACTGCGTCTGTAACTCCACCAGAATCACTGAGACACTGGTCCTCCCGGCATAGGGTACTAGAACCGCAGTGAAGAGCAGAACGCACAGCAACTTCTGGGGCGTGGTTATAGCCTCGGTCGAGACGGCTTCTGCTCTGCCACCCTAGTTTGGAAAACAAAAAAAATATGATGTGCTTTATTAAAAGTCGTCTAAAATCTAGTGAATACTTACTTACAAACGACATAAATGGAAAGAAAGATTGGCGGTAAAACAACTTGTTGGTTTGCAGGTTCACTGACCTACTGTACATGTATCATACAAACCGTCCCAAGCAACTAGGCCAGGGTAGTAAAGGTCATCAGAACACTTTACTTTACGATCACAGGTACCAGAACCGAGGGATCCGGACCCAACAACAGATGTTTCAATGAAAACATACATTCCAAGAGTACATCGATTTTGCATACATGTACCATGTCCTTTTTCTGTAGGTGTGCAAAGCCACTGGTGTTGAAGAGCGTACAAGAGTGAAGAAAAAGCTGGAGAGGAAGGGATCTAGAGAGGAAGAAGATGGACCACTTACTTTCAGGTGGGTGCTGTTTCTGCTCTACCTTTTACATTTTACATTTTGCCCAAAATATTGATCTCAAACTTTTATCTGAAATAAAATCCACTTCTATTCAATCCCCTTGTTGTATGCACTTCTACAGGGTGTGAAGTATAAACTATATACTGTATATATAATGTATATAATATCTACCTACAATGAAGGTCAAGCAATACCTTTTACGTTTTTCTGAAGGGAGAGAAAACTGCAAAGGAGGAAGCTGCGAAGGAGGAAGCTGCTGTGAAGGAAGATGAGACCAGAATAAGACTATCTACATCTACCTCCTGCAAATAAAAACTTGTTTGTTTCATGCAGTCACTGTGTCCTGTGGTTCAATCCGCAATATCAGGCATTGTATTCCTGTGGTTAAGCAGCTTTTTTTTGCTGGACTTTTTTTTCGCCCTCTCGCTTTGGTCCCCAGAGGATGTCAAGTCAAAGTTTATTGCACAACGATTGTCACGGGTACAATGTATGGCAAATAATAAGATTACTAGTTGGTATGCGTCTAACATAATGCTATATATATGGTCAACGGACATTGTATCTGGCAGAGTATTATAAAGAACTACTGGCTAGAGAATATTTCGACTCTACATGTACATTCTACATTACGCTAAACTATACACATGAAGGGTACAGTGAGCAGTTGTACCTAATTATACTAAACATGTTCTATGGCTACTAAGTTATTTGCCAGGAATGTTAAAATTCTACATATAAATGCTACGAAACGCTACACTATATATATATGTAGTTGATAAAAAAATTCAGTGACTCTACTTATGCAGCTATTGTAAGATGTCTTTTTTGCATGGCATTAAAAATGTATTGACCTATATATACAGAAAATGTGTGTCATCCAAAAAATTAAATCAGTGTGGCCTAGACAGTACATATCAGAGATATCTACACCATGTGCACAGACAATGCAAGTCCTGTATCAGAGACCATGGCACACTTACAGACAATTAAACAACAACTGTCGGTGAGGAAACAAAGGGAGAATGGGCATCTCTATATAACAGGGACCCTGACATGATGACCTTGTTGCAATAAAACAGTACATGTCAGGGATCGATGTTTACACCACAGACAATGCAAGTCCTGTACCATGGCTTTGCAGCAGAGGTGCGGCCATGTCTTCCTGTCTTGGGCTCCTGTGAGGAGTTGTGGGACGGTGAGGGTCGTCCCGTCCTTGATTTAAATAAATTATTAGCTGCCAGTGACAAAAGACATAAAATGGAAAGAAAGTTGATGGTAACTCACTGTTGGTTTGCAGGTTCTCTGACCTATTGTCACTGACCTATTGCAGGTTTATTGACCTATGTATCATATAAACCGTCCCAAGCAACTAGGCCAGGGTAGTAAAGGTCATCAGAACACTACTTTACGATCACAGGTACCAGAACCGAGGGACCCGGACCCAACAACAGATGTTTCAACTTGAAGATTTTTCACAAACAACCTTGTATTTCATCAGTGTCAGGGACTTCGACACCAGAAAGAGACAATGCAAAGAATTATGAAAGAGAGTCCAGTATACGAGACCATGGCATGCACAGGCCCGCTTAATTATAAGCTGCTAGTGACAAAAGAGTTACGGTAACTCTATAATCACTGACCAAAACATATATCCTTGACCTGTACACATCTCAAAATGTGTAACTAATTGGCCAGACAACATTTAATAACTGAAAGTTTATTGCAAATACTTGCCCGAGGGCTAATTGCAGTTACAAACAACATAGAAAGAAAATACAGTGGTACGTGAGACTAAATCTACTTCTAACATTATACTATATTCTACAACATGACATGACACTAGTTTTACTGGGTTCGACTTCTTCTTTTTAGGCAATGGAAGACGAATTTACCCACTTCTTCTATAATATGTGGGTTCTTTGATTTTAGTAGTAAAATTGTTTTTTTGTGGTAAGGAATGGTGGGGAAGTAAGGTAGCATTTTGGACACGGTGGTAAATAATTGATTTCTGATGTCGTCATAAAATGGACAGTTAGAGATGAAATGGATTTCGTCTTCCACTGCCTTTGAGGAGCAATATTTACAAATTCTCTCCGACACAGGTAGTTTCATATATCGCCCTTTTTCGATTTCCAAGGAGTGGGCACTGATTCTAATTTTACTAATGGCGGAGCGCTGATCGAAGTCACAATGTTCTAGGTATTGTTCTAAACAGTATTCAGTTTTACATTTTCTATAGAATCTCAGTTTACCGGTATTAACAGACAAACTATGGAAGAAAGTTTGAATGTACATGTCTGAAAGCCTTGTCCTTAAAACTTTATACATATGTTGAGGATCACAGGTTGTACTATCAATATGCAGTAGGTAGGAATATCCACAGTGATCGAGGATCTCCTTCACTCGCTGTACCAATGTCCGTCTACGACTATATGACAGGGAATTACGTTGTAACAGGAGTGCATCAACTTGCAGAGGGTGTGTATCGGTATTAAGTTGTGTCAAGTGTGACCAGAATTTAACAGCACGCAGTGATATATCATTTGACTTCCATACGCAATAACTTACATACAGCCTTCATACTGCAGTCTGTGATAGGACTTCGGAGATACAGATTTATGCAGATATTGATTTGCTTTATAAATACAAATACGTAGACTTGCAATCGTCACGGTGGTCAACTTTGGGTCCCGATTTCCCCACCTTCTTTCGAACCAGAACTGATGTAATTCGAACAGAACGGTGTTCGATATGGGGTCACCAGCGGTCATTCACATTTGACATTCCAATATGATGTCGCAGTATGTGAATGTCATTTTTGATTGTTCTAACATCAAGAATGAGGACTCATCTCCATTTAAAGAAACTATCCAGTGTCAGAATGAAAAAAAGCTATATTGACTCTAAACACACTCAACTGGCTTTTTATGACGTTTGTCTAAAATATGTAAGCAGTTGTGATTGCTGCTTGGCAATGTAGTGCTGTCGAGTCAAAAGTCCCACAATACCAGGATTGGTTCGGAGTGCCTGTGGGGCTTTTACTCCATTTTCTTGTTGACTAGTTGAAGATGACATTCAGTCCAGACTGACCCTACGAGCTATATGGCATTACTGCAGACGACAAAAGGGAAGTTTCATATCAACTGATGTCTCAGTTATTTTTTCCACGTGCTATATCTTTTTAACACAATGTTGCCAGAAAAGAAAGGGTCCAAAAAGGTGCACGTACAGAAAAACTAAACATAAATTCAAACTATCGCCTTACAATGCAATAAACATATATACAAAATCAACGGTACAGTAAAACTGATCATCCAGTATAACACGTGGTATGTTTAATAATACAACTCAAGATCCAAAAACATCTATATCATTTAACAACTTGGTCATGAAGTAGATCAAACTCTTTGTAAATCATACAGTTCTAGGTTTGAAAGTCTGTCCTGGTTACTGAACCTAGTGTCCCTGCCAGTTATGACTGCACGGTGACAGTGTGTTTGGTCCCTAATAAATTAATCCATGCACTACATGAGATATCTTACCTCTATCGTCTGGTTAAGTATAAGGCAACTGGCATCCTCACCTGTGTTCTTGGCAAAGTCATTTTCCAAACTATACTGCACAAATGTCGTTTGATTAAGGAAACTGCATGCTGTTCCGACCGACTTTAACACAAAGAGGGCCTACGGGAGCAGGAAAAGCCAGGACCACATAGGAAACAGACGTAGATCCTCGTCGCATTTCCCGTCAGACTGTTCCGATGTTGTTTTTGCGCTACTACGGTCACACGCGTCCAAATCCTGCGCCACAGAAGTCGTTACTGTGATTTATTAATGTGCCAGTTACCGATCAAAGGGACAAGGCTGCCTGGGAAACTTGCGATCGAATGACCTGCATTTTGTCCTTGTATCTAGAACCCAGTATATATAATGACCTGATGGCCACCATGCTGGACAGAAGTATCTAGAGGGGTATCGTATGTGTATGAGGATAAACTGATAGCCTGGTGTATGATTGCTCCGGTTGCTGCGTAACAAAACGGTGAGTACGGAATTTTCTGGCAAAAGATCAATCCAACTTTTTTGCCGTTATTCTTTCGTTTCTTCTTTGGGACTGAGCGGAGATTGAGCTTCAGTTGAAAGGCACGGTTGCAGGAAATTATAACACGCTTTATCAATTCGACCGTCGCTAGACGGCCTAAACTCGGTCAGCCTACCAACTTAGCGACTTTATGGTCGAGAAGTAAGGCATACTGTATATAGCTGGCTGGCAAGAAAAATGCAAATTGATTCAAACCTAGGCCTCTCCTATCCCTAACGAAAATACTACTCGACTGAGTTACATATTCGCGGCATAAACATATATCCCGCGCATAAGTTTTTTTTATATACTTACATGGAAATACTGACTTTACAACGTTAACAAAAAAGTCGTTTCTGTTGGGTAACCATCGCTAGCAACTCGCACAGGGTGAAATTGATCATGAAGGTCAACAATCAGGCTGTCTTCTGAGTAACCAATTTCACAGTTTTTCGAATTTTCGACGTCTACCTGGGCTGACTCTGCTGACTGAGCTGCGCCGCCATCTTGGCTCTGGGATAATTACGTATGGTTTCGCGCAGTAGAAGACTGCTTCCCTTTTCAACCATAAAATCGCTAATGCGGCCGTCATATTGCGCAAAATTGAACAGCCGATGAGTCCACATTTACAGTAGTAGTAGAGCACCACGCGAATTATTGGGATCGCCGGCGAATTTTTGGAGTCGGCGGAAGTTCGCTTGATCCCTGTAGCTCGCCCGGGTACGACCTCTTTCGTATCTCGCCCGACTTCTGCAAACTTGGCAGGTCGTGCGTGGTTTGTGTCTGTGTCCGAGGAAGGCTCTACGTGCCTCGGTCGAGCTCTAGAGAATTCATTGATTTGGCACCTGTGTTACACATGTGACATTTATTTTGAGTTTGCATTGGTGGTATAGAGTGTGAAGTATGCGGCAGCAACGTCGCCACCCCTTGTGCCTTTCTGTAATTTTGTTATAGCGATCAACAAATACGCCCGACGGTGGTCAGCAATGTAAGGCCTGCATAACTCGTAGGCTGGACTACGAGTCCACACCGCTTAAACTATTTTGCGTACATAAACCATGGTAGCCTCCACCAGGCCTTCCTATACGGGGGTATCATATAATATGGACTTCGGTAAAAAGGGAACATCATTGGAAGGGAGAATCAGTCCACGGGAAGGATAATTCAATCGGGTATTCCCCGATGGCGATGTATACGATACAGTTCCAATACATTGAGACAAACCACTACAATCTACATCCAACAAACTCAAAATCTTTGTACCATACAGAGTGTTATAGATTTTACTCTACTAAGGTTATAAATGTGACTTTTTCAGTGTGAATTTGCCGATGGAACTTTAAGAAATTGTAAATGATATGACTGCACATAAAATACATGTAAAAGCGAGAATTCTTTTGGGGAGGGAGGGGGTGAGTGCATCGTGAAATGGGAAGAGAGAGACACCATGGACGCCTAACTCTCACGAATATGACTAAAGTGATCCCGCACTACATCCATCTACTTTAGAGACGCATTCCGATGATCATGGCAGATATCCAACCCAGTAAAGCACTACAGTTTCCAGCATGGACCAACGACAATCATTGTCTGGCACGCCGTGTCCTGAACTGCGACTTGTGGGAGCAGCTGAAGGTGAGAAATCTTGCGACCGGACCGAATATGGATTATGAGTATAGATGGTGGCTTTCTTAAGTATGTGTTTGTATTTTGTATATAATACTATATATCCTATTTGTTTTACGGTACTGTACTGTCTTCCAGGGGCCCAGTGTAAACCAGTGTATTTCACTGAAATTCAGATAAGGCATCCTGGCTAAATGAGATAGAAATAAATAAACAGAAACAAACTATCACATAATTTGCGAAATTTCACAAATGTATGATGCGGGTATGTATTACATGTTTAGAGTGAATGTTTCCCAGTCCGGGTTCGGGTCCTTAAGGATGTTTAAATGTATTTTTCACGGCACGTAAATACTGGGAAAAACTTGCCACAGGATTGTTAGTGCTACCTCAACGGAGCTTCTCCATGGTTGTTATTCATACAGGCTTTATTCTTTGGGTACACCTAAAAGGCGGAAAGTGGAAATAATCGTCAGATTAGATTTTATTATAGTTACAAGCACTAGCACTGAAAGCGCTGCTTTGGAAAGCAAGCGTCCCAACATTAAGGTCAGTATTTACTCGATTCTTCAGGACTTCAAGACGTCCTTGACTAGCTTTACTATAAACGACGTGGTGCGGAGTGGAGTCGCAGTTCCCACCAGCAGCAATGGGGTTTATGCAGGAGACGAGGAGTGCTACAGACTGTACAGTCAAGTCTTTGAACCTATCATAAAGTAATTATTGACAATACGTCTTTTCTATTGACAAGATGTGCTGTCTATTACCACAAGTTACTTCATTGCACCTGCTACCTCAAAACAATCTGAATAAAAAAAAGTAATTATCATCATGAAGGTTCATCTGTGTTTACGTTTTATAGTGATTGGTCATTAATTATCCTGATGAAGGCGACAGTGGTCGCTGTAAATTTGATCTCTTTCTACAAAATTCCATTCTGTAGAAGAACATGATTTGTATCTTTTCTAGAGAATACCATGGGATGGACAAAATACCTGCGCACGTCTCCAATCTGGATTCTCGATGTTTGACGTCCGTGATTCACAACGAAGCATCGATTCTGTCTACTAGATGCAGGGTGGTCAGGAACCTCTATGGTTACGGTATAATTTCCCCTTCAGTCTCCCCTTTCCAGTACCTCTTCGAAACCTCACCTCTGTTTAAACAATGTTACTAATTTAAAAGTTTTCTATTTCACTAGGAACGATATCTTTTTAATTTGGTTGCCAGTTTGCCCAGTGATGTTCACTCACTCACTCACTCACTCACTCACTCACTCACTCACTCACTCACTCACTCACTCACACACTCACTCACTCACTCACTCGCTCGCTCACTCACTCACTCACTCCCTCGCTCGCTCGCTCACTCACTCACTCACACACTCACTCACTCACTCACTCACTCGCTCGCTCGCTCACCCCCCCCACGCACAAACACTCACTCACTCCCTCACTCACTCCCCTACGTACTGCAGCAGGCATTACAAAGATGATTACTACATCACTAACAGTCTATTTAGACTCTTTAGTGATCGAGTATATTCCCACAACTTTCTCGTTCTTAACCAGGTTTATGTTGGTTTAAACAGGATTCCCCCCAGGTATGTCACGGGAGAAACGCCTGGAAGTAGAGCGTATCTTGGTGACCGCACTAGAGAGCCTTGGAGGGGACCTTAGCGGGACCTACTATCCCTACGATACAATGACGAGCTCAGAAAAACAAAGTCTTATAAAGGATGGATATCTTTTTCAGGTAAATGGCATACAACTTTTAAAAAGTTGTTTAACATCTCTAACCTTTTAGGTCAAGAGACTGGGCAGTGCATCGGCCATACGGTAGCTTTAGGTATATTTCATTTGATCTGCTCTTCTTACCTCAAAGATAACGAAAAGAACAATTACTCTTGCAACCGCTTTTTTTTTAAATAACACAAAAGAGGGATGTTCTTTGCTAAATTCTTTAACTTAAACTGCATTTTTTAATTTGTGCCTATCATTTGATATTCATTGACATTTTTTTTTATTCTAGACCTGGTTATTCATAATGTCTTAAACATTTTCCCACTGATATGTTCGTTTTGCGACAGGAGAGTGATAAGTACCAGGCAGCTGCAGGGATATGTCGAGACTGGCCGGAAGGACGGGGCATCTTTTACAACAATGCAAAGACGTTTTTGGTGTGGGTAAACGAGGAGGATCATCTTAGGATCATATCTATGCAGAAAGGTATCTATCTATCTATCTATCTATCTATCTATCTATCTATCTATCTATCTATCTATCTATCTATCTATCTATCTATCTATCTCTATCTATCTATCTACCTATCCATCTTTCTCACTAGAATGGTAAGAAATCGTAACAATAGCTGGTATCAAACCTAGCTGCCTGGCTTTCTTATCTTAATTGTTTTCTGAGGTATGAAACTTTCAAACACCTTCATATAAATAAGCAAAAGTACAGCGACAGTTCTCGCCGACTAGCGTTTTTTCGAACGCCATTTTAATCATCATCATCATCGTTTCATCAGGTGACGTCACTGTTTTGAACTGTAGAAAGGTACGTAGAAGTCGCACTGTGGCGCTGTTTCACATTAATATATGCAAAAATGCCAAAAATGGCTTCCTGCGTCCGTAGCAAACAGTTTGCTCGGGTTTTCACGACGCTCCGTTGTGTCTGGAGGGGCATGGACGCTTGTTATCTATTGCACAAGTTTTATGGAACATCATGGGCTTTTATGTCACATTCTACTGAGGGAAAAATGGCGGTCCAACCTCATTTAGCACCACAGCGCTACTGCATGCGACATTGCGCTACACAGTGACATTTTACCGTGGTTTGTTGTTGACCACTTCGGTAATTGTTAGCAAGAAGTGTTTGTTTATGTGTGCTTATAAGTTCCAAGAGACCGTTGATTGGTCACCCTAGAGCAATTCTTCACTGTTAATTACTAAATAAAAAAAGCTGGCACGGCACAAAAAACACAGGGAAGAAATGACACGGCACACACTTTTATAACCGACGAACTACTGTTTCTTCACATGGGTTAAATATTTAGTTCTGCCCACGCGTTTTAACAAAAAAAATGTAATTTTCCATAATTCTACCGTAAAGTGGTAACCTTGCGTTATATACTTAGTATATTCATCGACGAATTCATTATCTTTTAATCCATATCATTACCGGTATTTTTTGAAATTCAATTTTAGACCGGCTTGGTTATTAAAAAGTCCATGTTTTGTGTCAAAGTTTTCTCGGACCTGTACTTAGCATTGTGTACATTACATTGGAGCCGTAACGTGCTGATTCTTTTTATTCTATTACCTTCAGGAGCAGACGTCCAGCAAGTATTTAATCGTTTGTGTCGTGGCATCCATGCCATCGATAAACGTCTGCTGAACAATGCACAGACTGCGTTCGCGTTTGACAAGCAGTATGGGTACCTGTCCAGCTGTCCTACCAACCTTGGCACAGGTATGCGTACAAGCGTGCACATGCGTGTGCCGAACGCGTTTAACACAGCTGCTGAATTCAAAAGCACATGCGGTCAGCTTGGGTTGGACGTCAGGGGCAAACATGGAGGTTAGAGACTGTGCTATGTTTAACGGTGGGTGGAGGTGGGGGGGAAGACATGGTGGCCACAGGACTGTAATAAGGGGTCCTATCATCTTATATGGCAAAGATCTAAGAACTAAGCTGTTAAAATCACCTACCTAAGTTGCAGCATAAGTAGACTGGGTGTTGTGCTGGACATAATGATATCTAAAATGCTGTATAAGCTGGATAAGAACATTCAATTTGTATTACTAAAACAGATCTGAGTAAAGTACCTTTTCTTTTGCTTGTTTAAGTAATTCTTTTGTGAATGGGTACGTTCAGTACGCTAGTTAGGTTGATTTCTTTCTTGAGTGACTTTGGTTATTTGTTTAGAAACCTCTGAGGCCAGTGAAAAGGCAGTCTGTGACGTGTCCAACCGCCAGCGGATGGGTCGTACTGAAGTGGAGCTGCTGAAAATACTGATTGATGGCATCAATTCCCTGAATCAATATGCCATATCGGGCTAGGTACAGCCACACAAAATTCAACAATAGTGGTAAAATGCATATGCAAACAGGACTTCAAGTACTATCTAAACATAGCTTGTACACCTACTAATAAAACATAGGTAGTTTTTTTTCGTATCTTGGTTATGTTGTTGTTTCTAAGTTTAAACAAAAAATTACTTGAAACACTTAATCACAAGGTCCAATAGTCTTGTTTTATTATCATTTAGAGTAATATGCATTTAAATAGAAAAGCTACCAAAAGACTTAACAAAATTAATCTGGTGAACCAAAAAAAAACTAAATAAATAATCTTCCACAAATTCAAAGTTTTTATTCTATATATTTTCATGATACATGTTATTTTCTTATTACTAACAGCACACCTTCTGTGATATATTTCTTTATCTTGAAACCTCGTGCTTTCAGTTTCAGTTTATTGAGATACCCTTTAGCCGATTATGGGCTATTCTTCCAGGGTTCCAATACAAATACATGTAACATCACAATTACAGACACAATCCTACATATTTACACTTAACTTACAGCATGAATCATGTAAAAACAGAGGAGTTACACGTCACATAAAAACCTTAACTATTTACATGGCAATCTTTAAAAAACATTAAACTTTAAACTTATAAGCAACCTCAACATATATGCTTTAACACACCACTATTCGGCACCGCAAATACCTTATATGTATCCGGCCATTTCCCTTTATATGTTAGCAATTACTATCTTAGTGAATTCCACTGTATTTAAACCCATAACAGAAGACAAAAGATGAATATCTATTACTGACAAAATGAAAACAGGATAGCAGTTTGGGCACGATCGGATAGGAAAGAACCTGCAGTAATTTTTGACAATCTCAACCAGTGGTTTTATACATTGGGTCAAATGCATTGGCATCGGCAACTGTAGACGAGAAATTTGGAGCATCGTCGTAGGGAATAGCATAGAAATTAATATAAACATGTCAATACAAATACAATCTGTATCTGTATAGCCGGTATAACCGCCCTTCGGCGTAACACACAAGCTTCGCAGGCACGTGGCGCGGCGGCAGCTGGCTATATTACACGGATGGACTTGTTACACCTAACCCTTAAACTTCAAACTCTAGGCATTGTTTAAAGCTATCTAATGACAATGTCCCTACTGCGTACTTGGTGACAGCGAGTTCCACAGTGTGTGTGTGTGTATCAACAGCATATTTCTAGAAGGCTCACATGGATTATCTTGATACTTGATAGAACTTGATGAGAGCTCAAAATGATTACTAGTAGATTTTAGGCCCCTGGCGGCTTGTTATGGTATTACGGAGGAACATATGGTTTTGATATATCTCGTGATCTGGACATGGGTCATGACTCAGATCTAGAGAGCCCTGTATCAGAGACCACTGTACACTTACGACGCCAAATCAAACATCAACTGTCGGTGAGAAAACAAAGGGAGAATGTACATCTCTATACCAGGGACCCTGACATGATGACCTTATTGCAATAAAACAGTACATGTCAGGGATGTTGACACCACAGACAATGCAAGTCCTGCATCAGAGACCATGGCACACTTACGCCCAATTAAACATCAACTTTCGGTGGCAAAACAAAGAGAAAATGGGCATCTTTATACCATGGACCCTGACACGATGACCTTATAATTATTGCAATAAAACATTACATGTCAAGGACATGCACAGGCCCAATTATTTTTTAGCAGCCAGTGACAAAACACATAAAATGGAAAGAAAGATTGATGGTACGTATCTCACTGTTGGTTTGCAGGTTTACTGACCTATTGTACCATAAGCCGTCCTAAGCAACTAGGCCAGGGTAGTAAAGGTCATCATAAGACTAGTTTACGATCACAGGTGCCAGAACCGAGGGACCCGGACCCAACAACAGATGTTTCAACGTTGGGTTTGACAAAGACACTTGAAGATTTTTCACAGACAACCTCGTATTTCATCAGTGACCACAACATACTTACGCAACATTAATTGTCGGTGACAAAATAAAGAGAGAATGGACATCTTTTTATGTATAATTACCAGGGACCCTGACATATTTAACACCATGTTGCAATAAAAAATCTTATTGTATGTCAGGGACTTCGACCCCAGAAAGAGACAATGCAAAGCATTTTGAAAGAAAGTCCAGTATAAGAGACCATGGCATGCACAGGCCCGCTTAATTATAAGCTTCCAGTGACAAAACACATAAAATGGAAAGAGTTACGGTAACTCTATAATCACGGACCAAACAATACATCTCTGACATGTACACATCTTAAAATGTGTAACTAATTGGCCAGACAGTATGGGCTAGATAAAAGATTTAACATCATGCAGTGAAGATAAAATAAAAGTTCACTCGGCTTTTTATTAAAGACCTCCGGAATTAATTCATTTGTATCATTCTATATAGCCGGTATAACCGTCATTCGGCGTGACACACCAGCTTCGCAGGCAAGTGACGCGGCGGCAGCTGTCTACATTACACCGATCGACTTGTTAAACCTAACCCTTGAACTTCTAACTCTAGACATTGTTTAAATCTATCTAATGACAATGCCCCTACTGTACTTGGTGACAGCGAGTTCCACTCTGCGATAGTTCTAGGGAGGAATGAATTCTTGAACGCTTCAATATTTTGTTGATAACTCTGGTACTTGAAGGCATGGCTATTTCTTGTTCTCTTTTTGGCTGGCATTAGGTACTTAGTAGTTGGGCCGTCCACCAGTTTGTTAGTCATTTTGTACATCATGTATAGTCTGGACATTTTCTTATGTCTTCCAGTGACTCCCACTGTAGGTTTTTATTTTTTATTTCCATGACACTAACACCTATTTCATAGCTGTTCATACAGAATCTTGCAGCTTGATTATTTACCCTTTCCAGTTTGTCTTAAAGTTTGTCTTTCTTTGTATATGGATCCCATACTGTCGCGACATATAAAACCATAGCCCATAAAACCAAATGACCTGAAATTTGGTATGGGGATACTTTGGACATATGTCTACAAAAACCCCATGCAAGCTTTTGATATACACTACTTAAAAATTCTGAAAAATAGGGCTTTTTGGCTATTTTCGGACAAAAATGTACATTTTTGGCTCCTGTGCCCTAATATTAAATCCGAATGACCTCCGAATGGAGAAATATCCAAATGATGTCATTCATGCTTTTGACTTACATCACTTTAAAATGGTACAAAATATTTTTTTGGCATTTCCGGACAAAAATGTGCATTTTTAGCTTCTGTGTCAAAACCGAATGACCTGAAATTTGGTATGGGAGATCATTCGATACAAGCTCACAGAATGTAGTTCAAGATTACAGCACAAATTACTCTGTAAAAGTAATAATCTGTAAGTACAAAGATGTTAAGATAAAGATAATTGATTTTAAAGGCTTTTTTAAACAAATAACGACCTTTTTTATTTTTTTAAAACGCATTTGTCTCTCTTTAGAATTAAACCCAAACGTTTTAAAATGTGTCCCTTCAGGTCCTCCTGATAATGTTCCTTAAGCTATATAGAAGAGAACAAATCTTGAAACACAATTCTCCCTTGTTCTTATTTTTTTTTAATAGTTAATGTCCGTAATGTCATTCATCAGAATCAAACTGGAGTGTTTGAAGAAATTCAACTCTCCGTTCCTTCTGACGTTCCATCCGCCATGTTTGGACGCTAACGAACACTATTCCAAACATCACCAGGACCACGCCTGCCAAATGGAAGGAATTTGGTACTTTCTGCAGAAAGAAGTAGTCCAGCATCAGAGTGCTCGGGATGGCAAACATGCGTACTGTAGTTGAGATGTACGCCTTCACAAATCTCAAGGCTGCAAGGAGCAAAAAGGTGCCAAGACTCTTCGTCACCCCAAGTCCTACTACATATAACACTGTACGCAATGACATTGTCCAGATTGGGGTCTCTGTCGCATATGTTATTGCTAGTAATGCCACTGTACCTACCAAATCTTGATAGAGCAAAGTTGTGACTATCGGAACCTCTAGTGTTCCTGTCAGGTACCGCATAAAGACCATATCGGGTGCTAAAGCCAACGACGCGGTTAGCGGAATTACGATTGACAAGACTAAAACTTTGGTGGACATCCCATCTACTTGTGTGTTCCCTACCGCCACTAGAACAACCCCTGACACGCTAATGAAAATCCCACAAACATCTGCAAGAAACAGAGATTCCTTCAAGAACACAAACCCGACACAGGCTACGAAGAAAGGCATCAGACCTTGAATGATACCAAACGCGATTCCAGGAACCGTGTAGACAAAAGAAAGCATGTACGCAATCATAACGGCATTTGCAAAAATCGAAAATAGGAACAACATGATATTCTGGCGTCTATTTTCACCCGTTAATCTCGGCCGACAGAATGCTAAGATAGGAATAAGTGTGAGAAGCTCAATAAATCGCTTTAAGAAAAGCATTTGGAAAATTGGAAGGCCTTCTTTGCTTATTATTGCTGTGAACTCCCCAGCGAGAGACAAAGCAATGGCTGACATGACCGTTAGCAAAATGCCTTTCGCTGCTTTGAATGAAGGCGATACTTCTTCATCTGTACCTGAAACGTTTTCGCCTTCGGTGGTGTTAGCGGTGGATGGCATTTCTCTTGTCTTTTCGCTTGTAGTTTCTTCTGATCCTCGCAGCGTTGCCAGATAGCGCGCTATCTATAAAGATTGGCGTCGCACGTATTGCCAATGTTCTTAGCCTAATGGTTCAACTTTGAAGCCATGTAGTGTGAAATCTTATGGTGTTCTTCAGCTGAAATTCTTGCCCTTCCGTTTTTCTATTCCTCTAAATCGGTATGTAATAGCCACAATATCTGTTTGTTGAGTTTTGTTGAAGTATCAGTATCTGACTGTTCTCTTTAACTCTGATTGTATCTGAAGAGAACTTATTAAGATCAGTCACCAGATGATTGCCCTCTTTGGGTATGCTGAATTCTCATCGATACCCTCGCTCAGGGAGCAATAATGTCGTAGCGATATCTGCTACCTCGATGGTACTCTCTGTGAGGAAGCTGCAACCTCGCCGTTGTCCTCTCTTACGAAGCTGCAACCTCGCTGCTTCACTCTCTCATGAAGCTGAAACCTCGCTGGTGCACTCTTTTATGAAGTCGCAACCTCGCTGATACACTCTCCCATGAAGTCGCAACCTCGCTGAAGCACTCTTTCTTGAAGCTGCAACCACAATGATGCTCTCTCTCTTGAAGCTGCAACCTCGCTGATACACTCTCCCATGAAGCTGTAACCTCGCTGATACACTCTAATCATGAAGCTGAAACCTCGTGGTGTACTCTCTCAGGTAGCTGCAACATCGCTAACGTCATATCTTAGGAACCTGGTAGCTCGATGATGGGCATGCACTCTCTCAGGAAGCTGAAACCTCGATTTTTCAAGGTAATTGTACTGATAATCTCGAAGCTACAATCTCGCTGTTGCCCTCTCTTGAGCAGTTGCATCTTTGCTTTACCCTATTGTGCAGATGTTATCTTGTCTCCTGTTCCAGAAATAAAAGGAAAAATAAATGAGCATTCTGGTATATAAAAATCGGCCATGTGTCTTCTTTTAGTTATATTACAAGATACAGCCGAACAGTCAAAACGTCGAAATGGTTCTAGAAGACAAGTGCTTGCTTGAGGAAGAAAAATTGTCAGAGAGGCCGATAAAGAGGGTGGAGTAGTTACTTAAAACAGATTTTCATCTTGTAAAAACGTTGTAAATAATAATATAATAGACGTGATATTGTAGAAAGAAACTACTATCGTGTTCCACTGTCGTGCAGGTACCTTCGCCAAATAATGTTAATTTTTAGGACTGAAAAATATATATTATTTCCCAGATTATACACATAGAATCCTCATTATCATGAATTATATCGGTTGATCATATTCTCAACCAAAAGACAGTCTTAACAAAAATGCCATTCCAGCATTTCCTTATAAATTATGCAAATGAGGTCATTGTTTGAATTAGTTATGTTTAATGATGTTCACATTCACTTAACTTTTAAATACCTAAGTATGAAATTCGAGGCAGTTACCATTGCTGAATGCTGAAAAAGTTTTTCATTTATTATGCAAAATAATTTCTAATTTACATATTCAATATCTTTCTATGTTTCTCTTATTCTCAAATACAACGAAAGTTGTTAAAAATTGATCATAATTCAACGTTACAGGCGTTACTGCCATCCAAGCAGCTCATGTTCGCCGTCTCCACTCAACATGAACATTACATAATGAAATCGATGTACAAATTCATCTTTGTGACCTTAAATTCAGGATTTTTGATCGATGGATAACTTAGAATTCCTTGCGATGGCTTTACGTAAAATGGTTGCGTTAACAAACAGTTACGCCGAAGCATAAACAAAGAGTACATCAACCGAAAAAAATCCTTTAGAAACTGTCTGTAACGTTCTGAATCAATGTCAAATGTATTGGCATCGGCAACTGTAGACGAGAAATTTGGAGCAGCAGGGAATAGCATAGAAATTAATATAAACATGTCAAGACAGGTGTTTGTGTGTTTGTGTGTGTGTGTTTGTGTACCAACAGCATATCTATAGAAGGCTTACATGGATTATCTTGATACTTGATAGAATTTGATGAGAGCTCAAAATGATTACTAGTAGATTTTGGGCCCCTGGCGGCTTGTTATGATACTGCGGCGGAACAAATGATTTTGATATCTCGTGATCTGGAAATGATTGGGTCATGACTCAGAGAGTCCTGTATCACAGACCACTGCACACTTACGACGCCAACTTAAAAATCAACTGTCGGTGAGAATACAAAGGGAGAATCAGTACATCTCTATACCAGGGACCCTGACATGATGACCTTGTTGCAATAAAAAAATTATATGTCAAGGATGTCGACACCACAGACAATGCAAGTCCTGCATCAGAGACCATGGAACACTTACAGCCAATTAAACATCAACTGTCGGTGCAAATACAAAGGACATCTCTATATAGCAGGGACCCTGACATGATGACCTTGTTGCAATAAAACAGTACATGTCAGGGATGTTGACAGCAAAGACAATGTAAAGACTTCTGAAAGAGAGCCCTGTATCAGAGACCACGGCATACTTACGCCCAATTAATTGTTAGCTGCCAGTGACAAAATACATGAAATGGAAAGAAAAATTGATGGTAACTCAACTTGCTGGTTTGCAGGTTTACTGACCTACTGTACATGTATCATATAAGCCGTCCCAAGCTCGACAGTGATGTATCTGACGATGTGTCCCTGTCTGCACCACAAGTGTGCATGTTGATGTAATATATTCTCGAAGAAAAAAAAATTCTTTGCAAATCAACACAGTCACTCATAATGCTTACAAAAAGTGGGGCAATCTATTGTGACTGTAAAAAGTGAGGCAAGTGACCCTAAATTGGCTTCAAAGAGGATGACAGACATGGCATGTGTAGTGCTGCTATTGGTTGGACCAAGGTCACCATTTTCTTCACCAAAGCTCACAATGCGATTAAGAAACTATTACTGACAGACAACACAAGAAAAATACAGCCTACATATATACGGTCTATGATTGTACTTCTCAGTAGCATTTATACAGCTTTAAAAATCCAAACAAGTAGAGTTGCAAACTAATGACAAATTTGTAAGTGCGTGTAAATAGTATATCAAATTATGCCAAAATGATGTCGCACTATCTAAATGTTTATTTCAATTATTCTGAATCTTAAACACGAGGAACAAGGGCAAAGTCCACTCCCCTATAAAGAAACTTTATCCTGTCGGGATGTTAGTACCTATGAAATTGACTATAATCATCCAAATATCAGACAGAACCCAACTGACCCTAAGTGTTGTGATACTATGTAATAGTTCGTACTACGACCTGTTACATGGTATTACAGCAGACGACAAATAGGAAGTTTCATATCAACTGCTGTCTCACTTTTTTCCCAGGTGCGGTATCTTGTCAACAAAATATTGCCACACAAAGAAAGCGCCGAAGAAGTTGCGGAAAAGCTAAATACTATCCAAGTCAAAATATCTCAAGTGCCTTACAAGATTATAAGGAACTTGAGGTTCTAATTCTAACAAGCTTAAAATCATTGTCTTCCGAGCTTGAATGTTTGTTTCAAATACTTATATCTAGAATCGCACGCGTCTTACATGCACGTAACTAGTTTTCCTTTGTGTTGAGTGTGCTTGTAAATAGGTAAGCACTTCAATTGCTGCTTGGCAAATGCGTAATCATGTCGAGTCTGTTCTGTTTTTTTCTTGAAGAGAAGCTTTTGTAGTGCAAGCTTCGTATTTAAAGAAAACAGTTGGAGATTCAAGTTTCCTCTCGAAGAGGAAACCTATTCGTTGCAAATCAACACACTCATAATTCTTTTAAAAAGTGGGGCAATCTCACTTTAAAAAGTGTGACACTAAATTGGCTTCAAAGAGGATGACAGACATGGCACATGAAGTGCTGCTATTGGTTGGTCCAAGGCCACCCTTTTCTTCACCAGAGCTGACTCTGCGATTTCGGAGCCCATTGCACACGTTGGGTGCCGCCATTGGTTACACAAGCTCGCCACAAGGACACTTTTTGTTCCAATTTTTTTCAATGATCGTATGATTGTGATTTCAGAGCTCAGAACACGTGTGGTACCGCCATTGGTTAAATTTGATCACCTCATGCATACTCTTTGTTCTAAGCTTTCCTTCAATAACCGTATGATTGTGGTTTTAGAGCTCATGGCAAGACGTGTAGCGCCTCCATTGGTTAGACGGAATCACATCAAGGCCATCTTTTCTTTCCGTTCCTCTTAAATTCCTGGTGTCGTTCATCGTTGGGTTACAGCTGCCGTCGCCGCGCCCATCGCGCGGACACCAGTTCCTGTGTTTCCCACAACGACCAACTTTGCTCCTCCGTCTTTCTACACCAGATTCGCCGCATCCGTCTAGGACAACTTGCGACTGGCGTTGAGCTGCTCTTCGTCGTCGAGGGAAGTTTTGCCAGAGCACCAGAGGTGAAATGGAGGTGAGAAACTTATACATTCATTCCATTCTCTATTTCTAAATCGTAGTCTGTTGCTCCTTTCTTTATCGACCCGTCGCAAATGCACCGGTACTGCATCGTATAATCACCAACAATGAAAAGATATTACGCGCGGATCGTGCTGAACCCGTGCTTATATTCCTTAGTAATATTTCGAAGGGGTCCGAAGAGCGTGTAGTGACGCTTATCGGGCTCTAACGTCCGTGACACCAGACATGGCCCAGTCACTTTCCCAAATGGTCCGTTATTTATTTTGCTGATTGATTTGCTCTTTTTGCTGTTGCACTTGCGGCAGAGATCACGCATGAATCCCGATGGTTGACGGGTCTGCTTCTCCGCCTCATATTTTATGCCATTAAAATCATCCCGGGTCCCGGCTCGAGCCTTATACGTGTTTTCATCGATTATAGCCTGGGATCATAGCCTTTGTTTTGTTCCATGCCTCTCTACCGTTCCCTTTTGATCGATTCGTCCCAGATTCCCCCAGAGACCATGCGGGAAAATGTTACTCCTAATGTGCCTTAGTTGCTTTCTGCAAGTGATGATCTAGCGATATTGTGAACGTTTGCTATTCCAGGGATGAATAGATGGTCTTGTTGTGAACTAGGTATAGAATAACGTAACGTCACTAGGTTACTGAACAGCCAGCCTGGACGACAGACTACGCAACTTCGGCACATTATATCTGTCCCTGACCTATTTGGTAAAACGTAGCACTGTCCACAGCAACGCCCCCTTTCATCAATACATCATTCAGCTCCATTGTTAAGATATTTGTGCAATTCCGCATCACCTACATGATTCACGATTCACATGTCTGACAAATTTTACATTAGCTCCTAAATCTTTTTCAGTTCAGTCAAATAATGTTGCATTTTTTGCCAGTTTTTGTATCAAATTTAACGCCGTGGATACTAGTAAGTGATAAACTCAATAACTACTATACTGTTTGGTCCCTAATAAATTCATACATGCAGTACACTCGGAGATTTCTTACCTCTATCGCCTGTTATGTGACAACTGGAATCCTCATCTGTGTTCTTGGTACAGCCATTGTCCAAGCTATACTCCACGCATAGCGTTTGAGTAAGGAGACTGCATGCTGTCCCCACCGTACGTTAACACAACAAGGACCTACCTAAGGGAGTAGGAAAATCCAGGGCCCATAAAAGAAACAGACGTAGTCCTGCAGATTGCCGCGCAATTTCCCGTCGAACTATTCTGATGTCGTTTTTGCGGTCAGACGGTCCAAACCCTGTGGCACAAATATCAGGGACGCCTAGACACTGATACAAATGACTGCGGAAATTCACAGGAACAGCCTTGAAAACGTTCGATATAAATTCAATGTAAGTTCCATTGAAACATATCTGGTAGCAAAACGCAGAAAGCCAGAAGAAAAGTTCTGTAGAAGTCCCAGGACATGTCAAGACAGGGGACTACCGACATATATGGCGATCCCGTCTTTACGTACTGTCGCGTTTGCAGTTGTTAACCAAGTATGTCAAAAGGTTAGAAGACATAAATTTTACTACTGTTAGCGTTAACACTAACATGTCCCTTTGCCCTCTATGTATATGCTCAGTGGGTGTCCTGTCCCATTCTCTACCCTAGAAAAACATTGTAATAGACGAATACAAAGACAGTGTCAGAGTGTAGTATCATCCACATACGTGATGGTGATGTGTATTTTCCACACTTCTGAAATTCTAGTTTTTCTTATAGTTATAAATTTGCATTATGAACGGGGTTGTTTCCGTTGTAATTGCTGCTTGCACTTTTGAATGGACTGTAGCTACAGGATACAGATAGTTGTCGGTCCGGCACCTGTCTTGATCTTAATCTACACTTAGAATCAGTCCGTGTCAATGTATTGAATATTTGCAGCAAAGCTATTAGGTTATGGCTTGATTGTGGCAGCTTTATGGGCAGGACATGAACTCACCTTCGCTTTTGGTAAATATCGTACCATGCATCACCCTCCTCTCTTATTTCTCCATGGACCTCTATCATTCCCTTGTGATTGGTCCGTCACTGATTCCCCCATGGTACAGAAACCAAGCGGGAAAAAGTTCATTTGTCGCATGCCTAAGTTTTCATTACTCGTATTATGGTACTGGACGTTACGTTTGACGTTAAACCCCGCCATTTCAGCATCTTTATATTGTGTACTTGCTATATTTGCTCACTATTCGTTAAATCGTAGCATTGACTACAGCAACGCCCTGTTTTTGTCAATGAAGAAAACCTTTCAGCTCCCTTGTTTAGATATTTGTGCAATTCTGAATCACCTACATGGTTTCACGATTCATATGTCTGAAACGTTTCACATTAGCTTCCAAATCTTTTCACTGCAGTCATGCAATGTTACATAATGTTTGTCAGATTTCTTTCAAATTCAGCGCCGTATGGTTATTACTGGACGATCAACTAAACTGCTCTGTGTTCATTAATTTAATAATTAGTTGGTCGTTCACTAGTAACCATACGGCGATGAATTTGAAAGAAAATACAAACATTATGCAACATCGCGTGACTGCACTGAAAAGATTTGGCAGCTAATGTGAAATGTTTCAGGCATATAAATCGTGATTTTATGCAGTACGTGACATATCTTACCTCTATCGTCTGGCATGGCATGTGACAACTAGAATTCTGACAAAAACTGACTTCTCAAACAGATCCCAAATAGGATCAATGAGAAATATTTACAATTTGATTAATATCTTTTGTGTAAAGATATGCAGTTTTGTCATGGCATACTACTCTTGTTATCTCTATAGTTCTTCAAGAACAAGAAGGCAGTTGGGGTATGCCTGCCCTTGGTGCTGATCTTGGCCGTCTCTGTGTATATCATCGGGACTGTGTCAAGGGAGAATCCGGACACCGTATTGTCAAAACCTGGACTCCGTATCATCAAAAGGTCCATATGTAAGTACATGACTGTAATGATTCGTTACCAAAAAGAGGTAGCACCAAGAAATATTAATGGTTCATGATATACGTAGAATATTATATCAAACACGATTTATTTGTTGGACACAGTGGCATGTATTACATTGATGGATAGCACATTCAAAAATTCACAGGATTTTTTTCCTCTTATGAGGACTTATGACAACATCAGAATTAGTACCAATTTGTAATACCGCCGTATCTGTGTGTTAATGAGAGTGAAGTACCTTTCTCCTGTGGGTTATGATGTTTCTTCACATCCGAGTACGCTTCTATTTCCCAGCATTGTCAGATGATCTCAACGGTGCTCTCCGAGCCGCAGCTGCCGAAGACGCCCCGGCCTACGTGAAAAACCACGCACTTGTTCAAGACGCTCTCCGATCAGCAGCTGCTAAAGACGCGCCTACTGACGCCAAGGACAAGCGGTTCCTCCCGGCCATTGCGAATCTTGCAGGGGACATTGTCTGTAAGTCAGCTGGTCACATATATCTACGTTTACATTTGTAACTTCTCACGCCAGGCTCATCTCTTGTCTATCAAACTTCCTGGCGATTAACAGACTTGGCCTAATGTCGATGCTGACAGTTTGCTTTGGCTTTAGAGACGCCGTTCCTAGAATGGTTCTTTATTCTATTTTACCCTCTACAGCATCAGGAAGCAGCTTCGACGCAGACGAACTGACAGACACGATCCAGAAACTGGGCAGTATGAAGAACATGGGACCAGACATCATGGCCCAAAGTGTGCAAAACGAGGCTGAGGTCACGGCAGAAGTGGAAAAAGAGGTGGCTGAGGAAACGGTCGATAAGATACTTGGAAAATGTAAGGAGTAATTGTAGATAGATATATATAAAGCTTTGGATCAGATGTCAATTAATAATGGGTAATTGTTACTTTAAATAAATCCTTTAATTCTTCGGGTGTTTTGACGAAGAGCAACGCAACTGTTTATTGCCTTGATTGGTACAACTCCTTCATACACCTTTCTAGTAAAGCTTGCTGGTGAGACACACTGCATGATGTATTTCAAATCGCATATTATTACAGATTCTCATGACAAGAAAGATGAAGATGGAGACGATGACGATAATGATGGCGGCGGCGGCGGAGAGCACGAGATAAAGGTACTACAGTTCCAGACACGCCAGATATGCTATTCTTGTCATGAAATGTATTCAACTTTGTTTTGTGTGTTGGTTTATTTACTTGTTTATTCTCTATGGTTTATGCATTAACAGAAGGGGTTCAGTTATTCTGCACGACAAGGTTTAAATGTTGTCCAAATGGATAAAATTACAACTGTGTTGGTTGTTTTGCAGGCTGAGGTGGACTTTGTTGCAGACAAGGGTATGGTGGAAGATGACATGTTCGCTCCACCAGGAATGCACATGAAAGTAGACGTTGAGGAGGACCCCGGGTATGTATTTGATTGATCAAATATGTGATGGTGGTTTATCATGTATGTATGGCTATTCTCTCTCTGTCTCTTTATCTCTCTCTCTCTCTCTCCACACACACACAGATAAAACAAAATTACAAGGTGACATATCACTTGTAACCCTACCCCATCTGACATATCAGATGTAACCCTACCCCAATAGAGCAATGAACAGCAATAATGATGTGGGAAAAAAGCTCCGTGAACATACGCAATCTGTATATTAAATTTCTAAAACCCAACTATATCATTACATTGCAAATGCTTATGTCTTAGTAGCGTTAAGCACTGGTATTATTACAACTTAATTACAATTCCTACACGTACAGAACGGACAGCGAACCCGATCAAAGCTCCGAGCCAATGGCGTTCTCCTACCCCTTGGGGATGGGCTCTGCTCTGATGAACGGCTGTTTCGGGACAGGATACGTACCAGGAGATCCGTGCTACAACGTCAGGGACGTCATCCCGGCATGTTACGTAAGTTCTTTGTTTTTCAAATAGCTTGAACAAAAACTACATAAATACGTGATAAATGTTCATGACCAGTTGCAGGCCCCTTGTCTCCCACAGCAGCTTGAAGTGTTTTGCTGGTACCACGTAGATCATGTTTTAATGTTTGATGCATTTTCTTACAAAGCAGCTATTCAAATTTAAAGCTGGACCCACCATGTAGGCACAGCATCTTTGATGAGTACCTAATATTATCTGTGGTGATAAGGAGTAGTGTGCAGGGGTTGAAGGAGCTAAGAACAAAAGATGGACCGTATCGCTGTACAATTAACGTCATATTGTCACCCAGAACATGATGGAGGGGTGTGGCTACATCGGGGTCGGCTTCGATGGTCGCGGAGACTACAGCAGCACGTCCAGGAAGAAAACAGTCGTGCAGCGGAACTGCAAAAACCTGGCTACGTACGTGTTAGGGGGTTGTTTTGTGTTCATGTTCTATTGTATAATATATTCAGTGATATATTCATAATGTATATATTATGCATTGACACATACACAAAAGTGCAGAAAACCTCATCACAGACGCCACAACGCCACATACAGACGCCACAAATATATATTAGAACTCTTTTGGCAATGTTTAAACTAGGCTTTCTTTTACTTTGAAGATTCAGAAAGTATAGTATATTACAAAATGTGCGGTAACTGATTATATAACCCTTAAAAGGCTGCATTTTGTCATTGCAACAATATCTGCCATGTTCTTTCTGATGGAAATCTTTTCACTGCATCTCAGGTATCACGATGAGGATGTCCCGGACACCATGAATGTTCACGGCATCTTCGACACTGAGGTCTCCTCCTACGTCTTTGAGTCAAGAGAGTCTTATCGCCATTCCCTCCAGATGAAAGCTGGAATGTCATTCTCTGGATTTGGCTTCCAGGTTCATATCATTTCATTTTAATAATCTTTCTTAATAATTCCAAATGAAGACAGTCAAAATATATGTTGTAGATTAATCTGTGCTGAGGCAAATATTCTTGATCATTGATGAATCTAATTTCTGTCCAGACTGCCGTTGAGTCAGCATATGGGAAGTCGACGTCATCCAATAAACAGAAGTTTATGTCTCTTATGCAGTGTAACGTAATAAGGTAGGTGTGCTGTCTCATACACACACTACTATTACTATTAATGATATTTACCAGTAGCACAAAAATGGTGTTAATAAGTAATAATTTTGAACCTTTTTCACGCCAAACAGCAGTTACTCAAGCAACCGGATATGATTTTGAAAACGTCAGACGTTTCAGCTAGTATCCACTAGCTTTCGTCAGTGACTGAGAGAGCAGAAAGTCAATCAATAGTTTGTGCTTATAAACCTGAATTCTACTTCTGGTCTCTCAGTCACTGACGAAAGCTAGTGGATACTAGCTGAAACGTCTGACGTTTTCAAAATCATATCCAGTTGCTTGAGTAACTGCTTTTTGGCGTATCGTATTACCTGAATGTCTAACCTTCATCGAGGTATCTTTTTCAAACAAGTATAGCATATCGTTGAAGAGGTTCATCAGCCACGTAGAATTATCAGTTAGTAGAATATTCCTCAATCATTGACTCGTTTTGACAGGTAGAAACACGTACCTCCAAATTTTCGATGTCCACTGTACATCTTGCTCACGGAGTGACCTAGTCTCGCGAGAACACGAATATAGCATAGTTCAGGCTTTGTATCGAATTCAAGCAATCGTTGAGACCTTTAACCTATAATCACCAAGTGAGAGGAGCGAGGTGTTAATGGGTGGTTATGGGTCACTGGTTAGGCACGTTAACACCAAGGAAAAAGTGGGTCATTTATGATATTGTTGTATATCCCGATCAAATAAACACTAACACAGGTGTGAATTTGACTTGGGAAATGGGAAAACGAATGGTAATAGGATAGCCTTGTTTGACGAGAAAGTTTGACCCCTGTTGCCATTTCACCTCTAGGTATGAAATCTTCCTGGATGAAATCTCTCCGGATACCCTGAGTCTGCCCTTCCTGAGAGACTTCTTGTCTCTTCCGACAAATTTCATCCTCGGAAGGCCACAGCTTCGTAAGTATAAGTCATATATGCGAGGTTTCTTACAATAAACCTTGAATATCATGTACAATATATCAGATGGTATCTAATGCTGGTTATTTGTCCTTGATGCAGTCAGTCCTAATTATGAGGACTGTACACTACAACAACCGTTTGCTGTTTTCTTGTTGTTTACAGAAAAGTTCATCATCCGCTATGGAACTCATTTTATCAAGTCAGCAAAGTTTGGCGGTTCCTTCCGGCTGTTCAAGACCCAAGAGGCCTCCAGGACTGAAAGTCTCGAAGACTTCTCCATTCAGGCCCAGGCTTCTTACAATTCTCTTTTCTTCAACGCCGGAGGTCACGCCGGAATGAGCTCGTCCAGCGGTTCATCGTACGGCAGCCATTTTTGTTTCCTTTTTTCATACTCTTGTGGGGTAAGGTAACATGTGATATCTTGATTGTATTTACATATCGTGTGACTTTGCTATCAGAACCAGTGGTAAATTTCCTTGTCGGTGACCTAACCTAGTTCTAGATAACTCTCTTTTTGATTTTAAGGATAATCATTAGTTGAAGTTTTACAAATTTCTAATAGTTGACGCTATGGTCTTTCACGTTTTGGTGAGTAGCAGTTATCAAAACATTTGCTTGTTTTTTTTTTTTTTTTTAGATAAAAACTATGTCATTGACCATTGTTGGTCTTATGAACTAACGTTCCATGAAGAAAAAATTAAATGTCCCCAATTACTTGTCCAATGAATTTCTTGTGAATGTTAAATAACCGTCTATGATTATGAAACAAGTTTGAACTTTGACCAACAAAAAGATTGGAATCACCCAAATTTTAGACTGTACACACAATGTACAAAATTAATCCAGTCTTTGTCGAGCAATGAGCAATCCACAAAGACTGGAGTTGTACAGTCGAAAATTTGGGTGAGTCCAATATTTTGTGTTGGTCCTTACAATTCAAACTTGTTTCATAATGACTTCTACCAACACAGATGAACTTACAAGATAACTGTATATGGTCTTACAGCCAGTCTTCCAAGTCTTCCAGCACCCATGTGACAGTGGAAGGGGGCGACCAGGAAGTTGCCTCCATCGTCGCTGACTTTTACTCAACCGGCTTCAAGGACACCTTCACCGAGTGGCTGAAGTCCATCCCCACCTACCCCAAACCCATCGAGATGTTCATGGGCACCATGTCAGAACTGCTGGACCTGAACTACAAACTTCTCTTCCCTTTTGACATCAAAGATGCTGCAGACGGATGCTTCGGTGCAGAGTGAGTTTTACGGTATACTGTTAATTGCCAACATGACAATCCCTTACGACTGTCAACATTGGGATAATATACAGGTTGTGTCCCATGAAGCAAACATGGTAACAGCTGTCATCGTTGTAGGCCAAATCAAAATTTCTTTGTTATATTTATCCCCTTGATAGTGCAGACAGTGGCGCTTTAAGACATTGTCATGGTAATATTTTGGCGCTCACTATCAATCGCTTGATACTTATTATTCAATAGATATATTTTTATATATTTTTAATATAGTACATGTATCTTGTTGTACAACCATTTTAATATTGTAACAAATCCACAGCCTCAAGACCGAGGAAGGCACAGAAAGGAAGTACTATGAGGTCTCCAAGCTGGTGAACAACAGTCAAGGAGAGATGACACCATTAACAGGGAAACGGTAATTCTTATATTCCTAGAGAGTAAAATGAAGCTGTAGCTTACAAACTAAAGATTTACTTTTCATTGACAGCAAAACATTAATCAGTGGCATATATTTGCATTATAGTGATTTTTATTTATTTTTTTGCTAGGAGTTAACACATCTTCTAGTACCTTAAAGCGCCTTTGATGTCTAAGGTATCGACGACATTGACCATGCCTTTAAATTTGCCCAGGTACTGTGACTTCACATCCGCAGATAAGTTTGAACAAGAAATGGACAAGAAACGACTAGCGCTGGAAAGGGCGATTGCTGTTTACATGGAAGAGGTAATTTTCATACCACTTTGTTAATTTTTTAAAACTTTTTCATAATGTTGGCATTATGGTATATTATTGCTAATCACGTTTTTAGGGGGGATAATTGATTCTACTATAAATATTGTTGATGACCATAGAAGGAGAGGGGTGTTATTTGTTTTGTTGACGTAAAAACGATAAGAAGTAAATTTTTTGTTGCTCCTGTCTTTTGACACGAAGTGACTGTGTTCTCCAAATGCATATAGTAATGAAACAATGTTTGTTTTCTTCCGTTCTATTCCATGGGGATACAGTCAATTTCCTAAGGGATAGAGCCAATTTGCCTTTTAAAAATGTTAATTACGAGCACAAAATGAAGCCTGTAATAATAAGATCTTGCCTTGTCACGCAGGGAAGTTTGGGAAGTTAACAATAATCGGAAAAGGATCAGAGTGGATCGTTTTTTTCTCGTTAGCTTTGTAGTACCTGTGTAAAAACTCGTAGGAAAACACGTTATTGTTTTTATAGGGACCGGTGCCCACCACGGATTTCCGTCTGGAGGGAGGGGACCCTGGATGTACTTCTGAAGCCTTAGGGGTAAAGGGAGGTGCTTCAGGAACTACCTACCCCACATGGATGGAACTCATCAGCGGAGATACATACAAGGTAGGAGAGAATGGCAAATATGCCATTCACTAATGTAGCGTTATGTTGAAAGGAAACTGAACAGCTTTCACATGAAGTGTCTAAGAAAGATCTGTGGGGTCTCTAACTTGGAGATCTTCAAAAGGCACCACTCGCGTCTACCACACCATGTACCAAATACTGGCAGATGGCAAGCGCGAAAGGGGTCAAGCAAAGCTCCGCTTCATTGATGTCTGAAAGCGTGATCTGAAGGTCTTCCACATCGGTGCCAACTGGGAGCACCTTGCCCAAACCGCACTGCATGGCGGCACACACTCCGCAAAGGCGCAAAAAATGAAAAACTGGCAAATGACCTGGTCCAAAATGAGACAATAAGAAGGCAAAAAACGACACGGTCCTTGTGAAACATCTGCTTTTACTTTTACTGCACAACTCTGTACGAGTAAAACTGGGCTGGCCGCCCATGTATGAGCCCATCGACGTTAAACTGATCGTCTGTCATGATGAAAAGAAGAATAAGAAGACTATAGGGTTATGTCTAAAAGGTATCAATAACATTGCTTTCCTTTCCTGTTTCCACTGTAGATCATCTTTGATCTTCCTGAAAGCATCAACTACGACATTTCGAAGGACAAAGAAGCCTTCTTGGTTTTTGCACGACAAAGGTAGTGACCTATATTAACCAATTGTCATATGTCAAATGTCATACGAAAATATTATCTGAGACTAATTTACAATTTTGCTTACATGTATTAATGTTGAACAGTTATGGGAGCAACGGCAATGCTGTGAAAACATGTCGCTTTTTTAACAGGTGGAACTGCCACGCCCCCGGTGCTAAAATGCACATGTACAACAGCCGTGACAATGGTGGAAGTGGTGACATCAACAACAAAAAGGTACTATCCTGTTGCAATACATTTCCAAACAACAACATCACGAAGTAGAAGGCAGCTGTATTCCTAAACGTGGTCCATTTGTTTTGGAATTATACGTTTTTGAACCCTTTTTTCAACGGTTCCTCTCCTGCATTTGTACGGTCTGAATTGCAGGTAGTTTTTGTTTGAAAATTGTCACAGTGGTACTTTCTGAAAACGAGAAGGATATTGTTGACCATCAACACGTACAACATACTGCTGAAAGCGTGACCCAGTGGTATTATTTTGGAATAAATCACCTTACATTTTTTATGACGTGACCTATTTTATGGGTTATAGGTGAAAACAAAAGATATACAAACTGGATACTTTGTAAGTAACAAAGCAGCAGCTCCACAGCTGCTTACATACACTGCTATAAATGCAACCTCTGACCATGTTTTAGATAAAATCATTTACAATAGGGAGGGCGCACATGAATGTGTGTTTTCACGTTCATTTCCACATTCAGGTCTCCTGCTTTGGTTTTGTGATGACCTACCAGGAAGCATCCGGGACGTTTGTAGTCACCCAACAAGATCAAGACGCTTCTACTCAGGTAACCATTGCCCTTTGACAATCTATACGCTTGGCCATCGTCCTCCTTCCGTCTGAGTAGACGATGCTTTCTCTGGTGGCTGAACAAGCCATGATAAATAACGCTTTCCTCATGTATATGCCAGGCAATCTACAGTTGACAAAAACGGCCGATTCTGTTCATAGAAATCCAAGTTGAAGGCTGTCAATTTCAATTTCCTTAAAAGCCTGTGTGAACTTGATAACGTCGATTGGTGTCTATTTTGGGTTGAAGGAATGTTTAGACTTAAAGTTTACATGTAGGATTGATTTTAATTGTACTCCGGTCGCGAACTCTACATAACGTTTTGGTTTGGAAAAAAGTAGAATGGATGAAATTTCATAAATTTCTTGCAATTTGCTTGCCATGACATTGTCTGTACAGGCTCTGGGGCAGTTGCGACGCAGCTACGTAGGCTGGACTGTTGCCAGAGCTGAATATGTCAGCCCGTTGGAGCACGCCCAGGCAAAAGGGTATGTAAATTTGTCAACCTGAAATTCAACCTATTATAATCCCACCTCCGATTCTCCCCAAGCAACAATTCAGCGCCATCCTCATCTAGATGATTGGTCAATATTTCGTATGTTATGTGCACGTGTCTATCATTGCCTATTGCCTATTATTTTAGGCCAATATTCAAAATGAAGTCCTTTTCTATCAATGGATGCCGGTCTATAGTACAGGAAGAAATCGGAGGAAAGACAGTATGAATATCAGGTTGTTAAGTTGGTTGACACCTTCTCAATACGATCTTAACATACATGGTGTAAATAGCAAATATGTCAATATTATCAATTGTAAAATATACATGTCATTATATAGTATCTAAAATGGGTAACACAGAAAAAAAAACATGTTATCGTGGCTGGTTCACTTACTTTTATTGATGATAAGTAAAGAAATACATTTAATTTATTGACTGTAATCCGGCTAAGTTATTTGATGAATTATGTACTGATAAGTAACGCTGGTATATTGTTTCTAACAGTGATGCTTTATCAAGTATCGTTGAGGCTCCCTGTAGTGTGAAGTGGTCCAACTCGTACCAGATCAAACCTGCGGAGGAGGGAGGGAGGTGCCTGTACTTCGTTGCTGCGTCTGCAGGCGACATTTTTGTGGTCTTCTCCACCATTCCGAGGGACGTTTCCACCTGGTACCATCTCCAGATCAGTTATCAAGGCGTTGCTCTCTACAAGGTAACAGCATTATTCATTTATTCCCTCCAAGCTAAAACCAAGTCAGGCTTTTCTAATGTTTGGAATTAGTAAAGGATTCGGTGTTTCTGTTATTTTGTCCTCATGTTAGAAATCTTCGATCATCTTAATTGTGAAACATATCTTTCTCAGGGAATGAAGCTGGTGAAGTACGAGGGAGCGAAGAATGCCCGAAGTCTCGGTGACTCCAAATTGTTCCAGCCTTACTTCATTTGCCTGGAGGAAGACGCAGAGAACATGCGAACCTACATCAAATACGGCGTCGGCTCGGACACTTCCGTAAGTGATCTCTCTCTCTCTCTCTGTCTATCTTATCTATCTTTAGTATCTATCCATCCATCTATCTATGTGTGCGCGCGCTCGTGTGTGTGTGTGTGTGCGTGTGTGTGTGTGTGTGTGTGTGTGTGTGTGTGTGTGTGTGTGTGTGTGTGTGTGTGTGTGTGTGTGTGTGTGTGTGTGTGTGTGTGTGTGTGTGTGTGTGTGTGTGTGTCACGGTGTGAAGTAGTACTGGTATAATGTATACTGAGATGATTTTTACCGCAATTGTTATTATACGTTTTTCGCCTACAGGAGAAAGGCCTGGTCTACATGGTCTACAATGATCGCAGTCCACCATTGGGCATTCGTTTCTACTCCTTCGGCAGCGGAGAAGAGTCCGTAGAGATCATGGACGCCCGAGTCATCGAGGGAGGAGCAACAGGACAGATGGAATGTACAGGGGGAACTGTACTGAAGGACGGGATTTGTGTAGAAGATTGTCATCCCGAGTGTGACGGTGAGCTCATGTGTCATTATTGAAATATTTCTGATAAAAATCCCTCCTTTGTGGACTGAGTGGAGCGGTATTGCGTCATCACCATTTGATTGTATGAAACAAACAAACAAACACAGACACAAAGGATTGATTGATTTTTTTATACAAAAATAGGATGTATTCCAAGTTCTCCAGGATCGAAGCTCGACACGGAATGCCGCCGGTGTAAGCACTTTTCCATCAAAATCGATAAAAAAGTCCAGTGCGTCGCAGAATGCCCAGCCGGTCAAAAACCAGGTGCCGATGGCGTCGAATGCACCTGTAAGGATTTTGTCATCAGCCACCAAAATGGAACTAACACCTGCGTCTCCGCGTGCCCACTTGGTAACAAAGTGGGCTCGGATGGCAACACTTGCTTGTGTAAGTTCACCATATGCTTGTGTACAAGTTTGAATTTTATATCAAAGATGAACGTTCTATACAATGATTATTGTTTAAATCACACACATTCAATTGCATTTGCCTATTACATGATTAATTACAATAGGTTGGTGCATAGGTATTGACTTGGTTTCCTTTTACCGCAGCTCCTTGGAGAGATGATTGGCGTTGTGGAAAGGACTTCCCAGCTCAAGCAGCAAACCCCGGGCGGTGTAACCCATTTGGACCTCATCCCTGTTGTTCTGATACTCAATATTGTGGACGCACGGACGCTCACTGCACTTGCTCCGGCTGTAGAGACTACCGTAAGTACACATATATAGCTTCGTATTTCCCTGTCAAATTTTCGCATTGAAAAGGTACGATTAGTGAACGTAAACACGTCAAGTTTTATTTAATAATATCGATGTAAATTTTACACTTCTGAAGATGATCCTCTCGCTTGGGACAGGTAATCTTGCCCTGGGGAAGCCAGCGTACCAAAGCAGCCAATATACGGATCACGTTGCCGGCCGTGCGGTAGACGGGGTCACCAGCACCTGTGCTCATACCGTGGGGGGAAACGGAGAGCCTTACCCCAGCTGGTGGGTGGATCTTGGACACCCGTATTTGATTGACAGGTACGTGGACATCGGTTATATAAACTTTAAAAAATGATGTGTATTTGGTGCTAAAAACCTGTGATTCACGCCTTCACATGTACGTAGAGGCGTGTATCGGCGAATGTACGATCTCTACCGGTAGAATCGACTATTCCGGTTGATGGCTAATTCTATCCTGCCAAACGGTCGGCCTCAGAGATATTTATACTCGATTCTACCGGTAGAGATCGCACATTCGCCGATACACGCCTCTACGTACATGTGAAGGCGTGAATCACAGGTTTTTAGCACCAAATACACATCTCTGGTGGTGATGACTATCCAAGGATGTACCAGTATGTGGTAGTGAGATATTGTGAACATGTTGGTCTATGTAAAATTCAACATGGGGTAACTAAACAGCCACCTGGGTACAAAACAGCTAGCATTTGCCCTTTTGATGTTTTCATGCACCCATGCCCTAGCTACTTCTTCACTGTGCATTGAACTGTGCTACTTAAACTGCGATGTTTTCCCAATTGTCTGCTGAAACGCCCCCGGTTATGTAATTCAAATGTACTGTCCTACTGAACCAACCTAATTTAGTTGACATTAGCTTCTTAATTTTGCGGCAATGCTTTTTTTCTTTCAGTTCAAAAGCAGCTACCCTATGCTCCTTGCTTGTTTATAACTACCGTCATTTTAACCATTTTACAGTTGTTTGTGCCATTAGCAATTTTAGTGACTGTTAGTGAATTTTAGTATGTTCGAATGTACACAACTCCAATGTTTCTTCCTATCTACAGGGTAATCATCTATATCCGCATGAACCACTTAGCATATTGGATCAACCCCTTCAACATCCACATCGGGAATTCTACCTCTGTCGATAAGAACCCCAAGTGCGGCGGTGATCATAGAATCGACGTGAGTAAGCCGTCTATCAGCATCTCGTGCCCGGGGATGCGGGGACGGTACGTCGGTGTGCGTCTCCCCGGAAACAACCGAATTCTGGTTCTGTGCGAGGTCCAAGTATTTGGTAGGTCTTCGCTACGTTTAACTTCACTTGAAAAGGGTTATGGCATCACGTATAGTTTTAGGTCCCATTATATGACGATAACTGACCACATGCCATGTGTGGTAAATGCATGTTCCTTTTTATTTCACCCCTCGAGATTAGCATGTAGATTACACCAGTCATGTGTTTTATCATTCTCTATTCACTGTTCTTGTTATGATACTTATAATTAGCCTTCCTGTAAAAATGCAATGTACTAAAGTTATCATTGGAATCATTCTTCTCCTTATATTATTGTAATTTATCACCATTGTCGTTATTGAATGTCAAAATTCAACAAAAGTCAACACTTGGTCTTTTTTGTTTTGCCGCTTAGGTAAACTGTAGTAGAGGCCACTGTGGATTGAAACCCGACCGGACCTATCATGTCGTTTCAGCGGCGCGTGGAGTGGGGACGCGGCGACTCACTCCATCTGCTGTAATGATTATCAAAAAACCTTTAAATCCCACCCTCTTATGCTAGGCCCTACCGCTTGTATATGCATGTACCAAGCAACGGTCTTAGTGCACCCCCATGAAACTCCTTCCTCTTCGCCCCCGCCGTTCTGCTTCGCCCCCGCCCCGTTCTGCTTCGCCCCCGCAAAAAATCTGCTTCGCCCCCGTCGTTCCTCTACCGCCCCCGGCGCAATTCTGCTTTGCCCCCCGTCCTTCTGCTTAGCCCCCAATGGCGGCACAGCTCACAGTCGACACGAAAATCGTCTGCAAAATAACAATAAAGGCTGTGCCGCCAAATTTAAAGTAGCCCATGCTCCGACAAACATTCTGGACCACCTTTCTGCCAAGTGGCGTTGCACAAATCCTTCCCATTCAAAAGTTTACCCCTTCCTCACGGCCCGTCAGTGGTTCTTACGTTTATAAGTACTGGCGGGAAATTTCAGTCACGGCTGTACTTATAAACGCCAGTACTTATAAACGTAAGAACCACTGACGGGCCGTGAGGAAGGGGTAAACTTTTGAATGGGAAGGATTTGTGCAACGCCACTTGGCAGAAAGGTGGTCCAGAATGTTTGTCGGAGCATGGGCTACTTTAAATTTGGCGGCACAGCCTTTATTGTTATTTTGCAGACGATTTTCGTGTCGACTGTGAGCTGTGCCGCCATTGGGGGCTAAGCAGAAGGACGGGGGCAAAGCAGAATTGCGCCGGGGGCGTAGAGGAACGACGGGGGCGAAGCAGATTTTTTGCGGGGGCGAAGCAGAACGGGGCGGGGGCGAAGCAGAACGGCGGGGGCGAAGAGGAAGGAGTTTCATGGGGGTGTAGTGTACCGTCTTGCAACCTGTCCTTGTGAGCCAATCAGTTACCGACCAATCACGTCGCCTCTCACTGTCAGGAAGCATCGTGATTGGCCGGTAATTTCCACCTAACAACGAAAGGGAAAATATCTGATTGACATTGAGAAGGACAGCTGGCTAGCCTCTACCAGGCTTCGGGAGGAGGCTCGAAAAATAGAAATCGCGGCAAAATTTTCTCTCCCAGCAGACAAACTCCCCTGGCATGCTATCTCTCTATTTGGCCGATTTCTACTCTTTTCAGCCGCCTCCCGAAGCCTGGTAGAGGCTACAGGTGGCAGCCTGGTACGTATATGCGCAAGGGTTGTTGCTTGATACTAGTATATAGACGCGTTGGGTCTCGCATGAGAGTATGTGAACCCCGTCAACGGCGACGTTTTGATTGTTGACAACTTTTTTAGATTCTATGTTGGTGTATGGTATGGGATTAGGGATGTCAATGATTAGATATAATTAGTTATAAGATTTTTTTCTTTACATCAATTTAGGAAGTTAGTAAACCAAGGTTCGTGCTTGCTTTTTAGAATTTTATTCTTAGTTCTTGCTGTTTACAGAATAGGGGTTGCTATACTTTTTGAATTGTAAGTGCTGAAATAGCTAGACAGCGATATAATTGAAAGGTGTGAGCATAATTTTGTATACGTATATACGTAGATGTGCATAATTATACATTGTGTAGTGAAAGAGGCATTAGCGACAAGCCTAACTTTAGGTGCCACAAAACATATGTGATGTTTGTCACAGAATGCTGGGTTTGCATCTTAGGTCCAAGTAACATTGATAGAATTGGAAGGTGTTAGCTTTTGTACTCGTATACGTAGACTTGCAACGTATGTAATACTAAAAGGGTGTCAATGGAAATAAAGTAAGTTGATAGATAACGTCAAGAGAAAAAAAACAAGGTAAACTATTATTCTCTGTTGAGGTGTATTAAGTGTTACAGTAGATATAAAAATAAGTGATAGGTAATTTACAAGCAAACAATGACCAGATGACATTTGCCAAAGTCCGTTTGAACATATACGATTTTTACATATAAAATAACAACATTGCCGGATAGCTGTTAAAAAAAGCTGGTAAAAAAGTTTATCCAAATGTACATGTTTTAAGCCTGTACTTTAGTTGGTATTAACATGTCAAGATACTTTTCAAACTCCTATCTTTACAATCTCACATACAAGTGGATACGCCATTTCAAGTTGAATAAAGTCTGTGGTGTTGGAATAGGACCGTGTTTGTTGTTTTTCTGTTTGAACTTGGCTTGTATATAGTTCGATAAAGCTCGATTGAAATAATTGTTTATAAAGGAAAGCCAACAAATCGAAGTTACAATCAAGAAATATTAATATATAATGCAATGTTAACACATACATGATGACGACCAGCATCATTACCTCCATGAAATGTGTCATGGAGGTTATATTTTCAGTTGCGTTTATCTGTCCGTCTGTCCGTCTGTCCGTCTGTCCGTCTGTCCTTCTGTCCGTCTGTTGGTCAACAAGATAACTCAAGAACGCCTGGATGGATTGGTTTCATACTTGGTGTGTTGGTAGGGTGTGACGAAAACTGGAAATGATTAGATTTTGGTCCCCCTAGTGGCTTCCCTTGGTACTGCAGCGCAACTTCCGGTTTTGATATCTCGCGATCTGGACATGCTAGGGTCATGAAATTTGGATGATAGGTAGCTCTCGTGCTTGGGAAGAAGTCACATGAGTTTGGGCCCCCTAGCGGCTTGTTCTGGAACTGCAGGGCACTTTCTGGCGAAATGTTTAAAAGCCAATAAGTCCAGACAGGAACAACATATTTTCATTATTTTTGGTGTGTAGGTAGCTGAGAGAGAGATGTACATAATTAAATGCAAATTATGCAAATGAGGACTTAATTTGCATAATTAATGAGGAAATTCTATAATTACAGTGTTTTACATTATACTACTTACATACATGTAATGTATGTAACCTATGGCAGGTGGAACTTCAACAGATACTAATTATGCAAATGATGACCTAATTTGAATAATTAATGCGAAACTTCTATGATTTCGTAATGGTGAATGATGAGAAGGTCATACTTGGAACATCTGTAAGTTAATCAAAAGTTAACATACATCACGATGCATACATCATGTTAATGCAGAGGTCATTTGCACAATTAAAGAAGAAATTTACATTTACATATCAAGATCATATTTCATGGAGGTATGAGATCTCGGAATTCTAGTTTTTAGTCATTTCTATCAAATTCAGCGCTGTAGTTAGGCCATGTTGATTTGATTATATGGATGGCATCCTCTGGGAACCCCAAAACTGATGCGCGAGTGCGAATAAAAAAAGAAGTTTTGCAAAAAAAAGTTAAGTTGCTTTCACTATGAAATCTACGTGGTCATGAAGGTTGAACAAATGGCACAGAATATGTTATGGCGAATAATCTACTCTTCGAATTCATTTCTTTACATTTGTTTCTTTTTTCCTTTGATTTTGGCATTCTACGACATTGGTATCGTTTCTAAATGTTTTCCTTGCAACTTATGGTATATTTTTTTGCTCATTTAGCAACTGTTTTGCACGATTTACAGTATGGTTGAAAACTTTTTTTTTGGAAACGGCCGAAAATTCATGCGCACGCGGATGTCATCCATATAATCAAATCAACATGGCTTACCAGTAGGTGACCCACTAAACCGCACAAATAAATTCGTTCATGCAGTACATGAGATATTTAAACTGTATTGTCTGGCATGGTATGTGACAACTGACTTTAGTATTATGGTACTGGGCGTTACATTAGACTTTAAACTCCGCCATTTCGGCATCTTTATATTGTGTCCCTGCACTATTTCTCACTATTCGCTAAATGTTAGCATTGATATTGCACACCCTGTTTTTTGTCAATGAAGAAAGTATGTCAAAAGGTTAGAAGACATAAATTTTACTACTGTTAGCGTTAACACCAACATGTCCCTTTGCCCTCTATGTATATGCTCATTGGGTGTCCTGTCCCATTCTCTACCCCAGAAAAAATGTTGTAATAGACGAATAATTTTTTTTTTACAAATCTACTACTACATAATGCATGCTCATACGTTCATATTCCTGGTACATCATCATGGACCTATATTTCAACAGTATAGCAATCCTTGTTCTGTGAACACCAAGAAAAAGGTTCATAAGTAAGAGCCTAACTTCCTAAGGCCATGTTGATTTGATTAAATGGATGACATCCGCGCGCGCATGAACTTTTCGGCCGTTTCCAAAAAAAAAGGTTTCAACCATACTGTAAATCGTGCAAAACAGTTGCTAAAATGAGCAAAAATATACCATAAGTTGCAAGGAAAACATTTAGAAACGATACCAATGTCGTAGAATGCCAAAATCAAAGGAAAAAAGAGTTCCGAGATCTCATACCTCCATGAAATATGGGCTTAATATGTAAATGTAAATTTCTTCTTTAATTATGCAAATGACCTCTGCATTAACATAATATATGCATCGTGATGTTAAATTTTGATTAACTTACATATGTCCCAAGTATGACATTCCCATCATTAACCATTAAGAAATCATAGAATTTTAAATTAAAATTAGGTCATCATTTGCATAATTAGTATCTGTTGATGTTCCGCCTGCCATAGGTTACATACATTACATGTATGAAAGTAGTATAATGTAAAAAAACTGTATAGAATTTCCTTATTAATTATGCAATTAAATTCCTCATTTGCATAATTTAATTGCATTTAATTATGCACATCTCTCTCTCCGCTATCTACACACCAAAAATGATGAAAATATGTTATTCCTATCTGGACTTATTGGCTTTTAAACATTTCACCAGAAAGTGCCCTGCAGTTCTAGAACAAGCTGCTAGGGGGACCAAACTCACACCACTTATTCCTGATAGGAAAAGCAATCTGTCACTAAAACATCAAGACCATAGCATGTTCAGGACAAAAGATACAAAAACCGGAAGTTCTGCTGCAGTACCAAGGTCATCCACCAGGAGGCCCATACTTGACCTTTGTCTTCCTAAGACTTACCAACATACCAAATATCATCATAATCCATAAAGGCGTTATGAAGTTATACTGACTACAAATGTGCGGAAACACACACAGACACACAGACTGACGCGCCAAAAACAATACCTCCATTTTTCATGGAGGTA